ACCGCATATATGTCCTTGATGGTCATTAAGAGCAGCTTCGATATCATCATAGAATAAATCCACTTCTTCTTTATCATGGTCTGTTGTTGGTGCATAAACCTGTATTATTTTCATATTATACCTTGTATCTACTGTCTTAGATACAAGGTATAATAGACAGTAGACGCGATAGAACAAGCAGCAAAACTGAAATGGAAATGGGCTGGACACAATGAACGTCTCCAAGACGGACGATGGAACAATGCCATCGGAAAGTGGCGTCCATACAATGCAAAGAGATCAAGAGGCAGACCACAGATGAGGTGGAAAGATGACATCAGGAAACAAGGAGGTCCCACATGGCAGAGAACAGCTCAAGATAGGGAAAGATGGAGAGAACTGGGGGAGACCTATATCCAACAATGGAAGGATAGAAAATAGGTTCAAAAAAATACCTTGTATTCAATTTAAGAGTAAGACAAATCACTCTTGTGGAAAATTTCTTTAGTGATAATATACTTGTTTGGAGAAGCTTGTGTATAATGAAGCCGGTTCCTCCCAAGGAATTATTGTCGTCACGTACGTAGTAAAAACTATGTCCCGATTTTAGTTTAATTAAGTGTTGCAGTCTTCTGACTTCGCTGAGACCGACTATGTCCCACTTTATGTTTTCTAGTTCGCACTCAAGTTCAGTAAGTCTTTCATCAGATAGTAGGAAACGTGCATTATATGTTCCTATATAAAGTGTCGTCTTATTCGGGTAACTTTTTCCTGTCTTTGTCAATTTTTGGTCCCCCCAGAATCCATGGGACAGACTGATAATTTATCAGTGCAAGATTCTGGAAATAATTTCCTACTTGCCTGGGGTATTTGCGTGTTTTCAACTGACATTTTCGTGTGGGGTATTTAGCCTTTAAACACCACGCGGGCTAGACGTGTTGGCGAGTGTGTGTTGAAGATGAAGTATATCATTATTATATGAAATTACCCATTTCTTTCATATCTCAAACACACAGTTCAATCAATATGATTTTACTATACTAGGTATGTTCTGTTGATCCTTTAACTAACATAAAATTTGGTCTATTGATATTGATATTTATGAATGATGGTAAAATATACATACAATTCAGTTGTTTGTGGATTGATATTGATACTTTCAAAGCAATAAATACTGTTGTAAGTTATGTTTATATTATTTTGTGTATATTAATTGAGATGATTGGAGTAGCAAGACCATTGGATTTATGAATATTTCAAGGTGACAATCTAAGAGCACTTAAAAAATGCTTATTTTCTTCCATACATCTTGAGATTTGACAACATCCTCAAAATTTAAAAATTCAAGATTTATGAGATGCCAATCATCACTCCGAGGCTCCTGAGATGTAACTTTAATTCCTGTGATCTCAGGATAATTCGTGAGGAGTGGCATCGTTGACTACAATAAAGACAAAACATGCAACATATAAAGAAACTAGGTATGTTTGTATAAGAGAACAAATAAAATAGTTGGCTAATGAGAAGCATGTTCATGCAAGCAGAAGATTTCATATAGATTTTTCATTATAGTTTATTCGTCTTCTGGGTTTGGACCGTGTCATTTGTGAGTGACCTAAAAGTGAGTTCATCTCAGAGATGGGTGGGTTCATAGATTTTTCATAATTGTGTTTTATTTCACTGTAAAAAACTTTTAGACACCGAAATTAACTCATCTTGTGGAACGGAACCGAATTTTGTAATGTATACTTCAAAATAGCTTGCAATTTTAACAACCACACTAAATATATAAAAAAATGTAAATATTTCTCTGATAGATCTTTACGCATTTATTTTATATACATTTGCTGCTTGTATCATAGTTCACTTTATAAATAAATACAAAGGCTTACGAGTAAGCTTACTTTACTTATGAGTAGGGTTGTAGGAGGCTACCAAGAACGACGAACGCTGCACATAATTACGTATAATGTAAGAACCTTATCTAAGGATGAAAAAATGACGGAACTGGAGGAAGAACTCAAACATGTGAAATGGGATATTATAGGAATTAGCGAAGTCAAAAGAAGAGGTGAAGATCAGGTCAAACTAAAATCAGGCAATATATTCCACTATAAAGGGGAAACAGAATAGACAACTGGAGGAATAGGTTTATTAGTACATAAAAAAATTACAGAAAAATATACGGAGCATTGACTGCATTTCACCAAGAGTTATGTATATAAATCTAAGACTAAATAAGAGATACAATCTGAAAATAATTCAGGTATACGCCCCCACCAGCGATTACGAAGATGAAATTGTTGAAGCCTTCTATAAAGAAATCGAAAAGAGCATTACAATCTGATAATGGGAGATTTTAACGGGAAACTCGGAAGAAAAAAGGACGAACAAGAAGTGGCAATCGGAGATTTTGCCAATAGAGATAAATGCTTACCAACTTTCTAGTGCGACAAAAACTGTATGCAATGAACACCTTTTTTAAGAAGAAGCAGAATAGAAAATGGACGTGGGCTAGTCCAGACGGAAGAACTAAGAGCGAATATGCCTACAAAAAGAAAGAGCAAAGATGATAAACAGTTGCAAACGCATAGTTTGGAATTCACCAAATCAGCCAGAAACATACATAAAAAAGTATAGCCGAAACTTTACAGAGTAATAATCCCAAACCTCTAAGTATCGACGATCACAATAAATTAATAACAGACTCGATTAGAAACGCACAACTCAAATTTTACAAGAAAATTACACCGACAATGAAAAGATTAGCAAAGATACAAAAGCTCTCATGGAAATACGACGAAACCTAAGTGAGAGCGAAAAGGGAAACAAAGAATATAGAAAACTAAATAAAAGAATTTCAGCGGAAATTAGAAAAGATGTAAGAAGATATAATACTAATGTAATTACTCAAACAGTAGGAAAAAACAAAGGTTTAAAGATAATGAAAAGAAAACTGACACAAAGTAAAAAAGAAATATACAAGCTGAGAGATAAAGACGGAAAGGCAACAACAAATAAATAAAACATTCTGAAAATAACCAGAGAGTTTTATAAAGACCTCTATACCAGCCAAAGACCACAAGATAATTTCTCAACACGAGTAAAGAGTCTCATAAATCAGGGATCGGAAATACTGTTCCCATTACTGTGTCAGAAGTAAGAGCAGCTTTAAAGGAAATGAAGAACATCGATCGCCGGTGATGATGGACTCATTATGGAGGCAATAAAAGCAGGAGGAGAAATTCTATTAAAATCAGTAAGCGAACTGTTTAATAAATGCTTACATGCTGGTACGATTCCAAAAGACTGGAACAATGCAGTGATAGTCTTGTTACACAAAAATGCGATATTATTAAATTAGAAAATTATAGACCCATCAGCCTCGTGACACATATGTACAAACTCTTTATGAAAATCTTAACAAAGAGACTAACACCTAAACTTGATTTCTATCAGCCCAAAGAACAGGCAGGCTACAGGGCAGGATATGGCACAAAGGACCATTTGAATACCATAAAGATCTTAATAGAAAAGTGTATTGAGTACAACATACCACTGGTTTTTGCATTTGTCGATTACGAGAAGGTTTTTGATTCTGTAGAGTTTAAAACAGTACTGGAAGCCCTAAATCAAAGCCGAATAGATTACAGCAGACACAGAAAAATTCAGCTTAGGTCGAGGAGTTAGACAAGGAGACACTATTTCACCAAAATTGTTCACGACAACTCTAGAGTCAATATTTAACAACACTCAATGGCAAGATATGGGCATCAATATAGATGGAGAAAGATTAAATCATCTAAGGTTTCCAGAGGACGTTGTATTAATCGCAGATAGCTTACAGGATACAGTTTCTATGATACATTCGTTTAAAAGTCTGTCTGAAAGAGCAGGATTAAAGATAAACTTTGATAAAACTTAACTTATGACAAATCTCGTAATGAGTGGAAATATAACTATTGACAATAATACCATACAACAAACAGACACTTACAAATATCTGGGACACGAGATCAAAATACGCAGAGACAATCAAACACATGGAATACAGACGCGAATAGGCCTAAAATGGGCAGCATTTGGAAAATTAAGCCATATTGCCAAATCAGGTAAAGATCAGGAGTTCAAGACGTCATCGAAAGAACCACGACGCTTAAGTGGAACTGGACAGGGCACTTAGCCAGAACACAAGATGGACGGTGGAGGACGACCACCGACTAGATGGACCGATGATACAAAACGTGTAGCGGGAAACTGGCTACACGCGGCCCAGTTTATAGAACACTGGAAAGAACTGAGAAAGGCCTATGTCCAGTAGTGGACGCGATTGGCTGATGATGAAGGCTTACTAATAAAATGACTTTTACAGAAAATTCAACATTGTTTATCAAGATAGTCTCTTTCAAGGTTAATAAAGTGATTCTAACACTTCTAATAATTTATGTCTATTTTATAGGACAATGTTTCTGTTTTTTTTTTAATATGTCTTACGTTATCTCAGCAATAATCTTATCGTTTGGATGTAAATATCTTTCCCTAGCCCTAGAGCAATTCTTTTAGAATTAAAATTTTTGTTATTTTTGTTAATAACTTTTTTATTTTCCATTTTACCTTTTTTAAATCTAGAAAATTTTTTAAAAAATAAACAAATTTGTAGGGAAAATAATTCTTTGAAATATTTAAAAATTTCTTTTTGTTTACAACTTTTATATTATATTTTTCATTTTACAATTAAAAGTAATTAAAGGAAGCAATACTATACAAGCTTATACAGTGATGAGTGTGCTAATAACAGGCACAATAACACAAAAGATAGAAAACAATACATTGTGAAATAAAATAAGATCAAACTTGGATGTCTATTTTAATAATTTAAACAAATGTACAAAACTTCAAAATAAAAAACTTTTTAAATAATAATAACCATTGCTGCTTATTGCAATGATTGCAGCAGATGAGCATTTTTATTAAGAAATATCATCATTTCCATATTTTTTGGTTTAAGTCTGGATCTTCTGTCAGATAATAGCTCCAGTCCTACTGAAAGTTCTCTCAGATTCTACCGATGTACCAGGTATACAAAAATATTTTTGGCACAACTGGGTTATTGGATTTAGTTCCTCTCCAGTTACCTAAAATAAACAAACTATGGCTATAGCAGGGAATGTGTTAAACATAATATACATTATATTTCTAATTGTTTTACTTACTTTCCAAAACAGAAGCGGATCGGTGTCTTCATTTGAATTGGGTGTTTCTAGGTATTGCCCTTTAATAATGATAGCGTAAGCTAGGTTAGATTTAACTTTTGTTTTATTTTTTTGCCCAATAAATGAAAATAAGGACTTCTTAGGTGCAGATTCAGTCTCGCCATCTCCATTAGGATTATTTTTTTGTCCACTTCCTTTTTTCGAAATATTTGGCATATTTCTTATTCTAAAAATACACTGGCTTGGTTTGCATTTTCTGGGCTGTAAAAATCCTTTCTTTTTAAAACGAGGGTCTATTATCGTCGCAATTCTGGTAATTGACCTCTTTTCATAACTAAATAATCTATTTTGAACTGAATGTTGAAGTTCTGTACAAAATTGTTTTCCCTCTTCTGTGGTGTTTTTAAGGTACCTCACAATTTTTTTACATTTAGTTCGGAGAGTTTGTACAGATCTGAGTTTAAGGTTGTCTTGTACTACCAAGTTGATTGAATGGACAAAACAAGGCAAATGCCACTTTTGCAACAATTCACATATTTTTATCATATTGGGAGCGTTATCAGTCATTATACATGTTGCCTTCTTTGCAATCTCCCATTCTTCAAATGTTTGTTGCAAAACACTTGCCAGATTTTCTGCTGTATGGTACTCTTTTAATTTTGTTACTGCCAGTATGCTGTTTTTAAGATTGAAATTTTGGTCTATATAATGACATTTAATGGCCATATACGATTCTGTGCTAACAGAGGTTCAAGAATCAGTCGTTAAAGAGACAAAGGTATTTTGTTTTAAAACATCTTTAGTTTTAATACACACTTTTCGTAGCATACCTATCTTTCATGTTAGTCTCTCTAATAGTAAATTTACTTGGTAGAACATATTTAGGGTCAAGCATATGTAAAAAGTTCTTAAAACCAGAGTTATAGACAATATTGAATGGTAGCAAATCAGTAGCAATCATCAGAGTCCTTTTTCGTTTGTGAAGAAGAATCATATTGTACTGATCTTTTAAAAAATTGGCTAATTGACTGAGCACTTGATCGTGCTGAGCTAGTACTCAATTCTGTAGTACTTGTACTTACAGAACAATCTGGGCCAGTACTCATAAATCGATGAAACCGTTTAATATGATCAGCTAAGTTTGACGTATTGCCGCTAGTTTTATACTCCCTTCCACAGGTTAAAGCTAGTTTTCGATCTGCAGACCGTTTAAAATAATTATACACGTTGGAATGCCTTTTTCGTTTTCCTGAAGTCAGATCTATTGTCGAACCAGAATCTACATATGAGTTTTCCCTGTTTTCAGAATTCAGTTTTTCATTTTCAGAATCTTAAAAAAACAAATAAATACTTAGAAATACTGTTAAATTATAAAATTTGAAAAACTTACCTTCACGACTGGATGTAGGTTTTTCTTCAGTGACCTTCTGTTTCTTTGTTGTAATAACAAATTTTTCCATGATCAAATCCAAATATATGTATTACAAATCCAAACTTGTAAACACGTTTTCACACTAACTTTTTTTAACATCAACTTTAAGGAACGAACAAAAAGAACGAATGAACAAGTTCAGTTAGACAAGAAAAGAAACAGGAAACGGAAACAGAAACTAAATCTTCTATTATGTTATGAAATTGAGGTTGTTCTTCTGTTTCCTCTTCCTTTTTCTTTAGTTGGAAAGATTACTTTAATTTTTTAAGGATAAATTACCTGCATTACACAAAATTGTCCAAAACTGAAAATATTTATTTCCAAAAACACCGAAATAAAAACAAACCTGTAATATCGAAAACTATCGATTGTCAAAAAAATATCGATGGCAAACGATAGTCATACTATCGATAGTGCTATCGATAGTTCTCCACCACTAATTGCTCTGATTGCTTTATTGTAAAATGACCAGAAAAACAGTTATAAAAGAAAATTTGTTAAAAATGTTTAGTTTTTTTTTGTTTTTAACTTTTTTATTTTCAATTTTACGATAAAAAGTAAACATTAGTTCGCACTATGCTAGTATTTTAGTCGAGTAGCGACTAATTTAGTAACTAAACGTGTCTGAACAACAAAATTTAGTCAGTAGATTAGTAAGTAATTTAGTCGATTCGATCCATTTTATTCTATATTTTTCGGGCGAGTAGCACCACCTCCCACCATGCGTCAGTGCTCACTGGCTCATCGGTTAAACAAGGCCGAACCCCTCGAATTAGTTGAGTTCATTAGTTGTCCAGTATTCTTTGGGATCTTTCAATCTTAATATCTTCAGAATGCAATTGGTAGCTCCTAGTTTTCTTCTATCGATCATAGCTTTTTTTTAATTAAACAATTTCCTCATCGAACCCTGTTAAAATAGCCGTTATGATTAGCTTAATCAGTTTATTTACTTTATTGTATTATAGGCGGTTCACCTTACAAAACACACATACTTGTGTACTGTACTCGAACAAGTGCGAACGATTTTTGGGTCAGTAGTGTGTATTTTAGTTACTAAATTACTCGCCACTTATAGAAAATTGGATTTGCTACAAATAATGTTTTATAAAATTTTCTGTAGGGCTGCTAATTTACGAGATACAGCGCGAAACCCTTTGCCCCAATTTTTCTAATATGGCGACCGGGGGACAAGGGTGGCTACCCCACAAACTTGAACTTAAGCTTATACTAACCACCCCCACTAAAAAATAAAATGGCGTCCTCTCAAAAATCTAATCTTTTCAATGGGCTAATGGTCACACTTTGCCTTTTTTAAGCAATGTTTTGTATATGTGCAGCTCGCCTATTTATTCTTTATATTTATACTGCATATTCTGATGTAGTCTACTGTTACAACATGTTTACTTGAATTACGTAACTGTACATTTTATTTCAGATCATAGAAAATTTAGACAAGTGTCCTAGAGGGTTTTTTGCTATCAATAAAACCTACGATCAAGACTCTGATGCTGACTTAAGAGAGAGCTCAATTTTTAAGAGTAGTTCCGCACGATATCTATGCTTATCGAAAACTGAAGGCAAGTTTTTAAATATATTATTGTCGAATAATTAAAAAAATATATAATGATCAATAATTCTGAAACGGTCTTTTTGTAGCATAAGTTAAATATTATGTTAATATGAGATTAAGTGTACACCTACATTGGAACCGTTTGTATTTCAATTCCCGATCCGTCCATGGCTCGACGTCGGCGCCCGATATCGATCGGAAAATACGGTTCCAATGTAGAGTGTACACTATAGACATACAATTGAATGTAATGAAAATCTACATTTATAAAAGTTTTTACTGATGTTTGATTTTTCGATTTCTACTCCAGAAAACGTTTTCAAAAAAATTGTGTGAAAAGTATAACCAAAAAGTCGTTAAGCGAGTTATGTTTTCCAAATTGACGGTTGACTTACGTGGCCTCGATCTTGTAGGTAATAGCCATACTTTTGAAAAATTTGAGGGCGGCGTTTGTGCTCTTATGATATCAAATTCTGATTATTTGTTTGTTTTTGTATTATTTGTTGTGTATGTTTGTGTATCGTGTAAGTATTATACGAGCCCTAACAACTATATGTTGCAACAAGCAGTTATTTTGCTAATATAAAGCCAATTTACCGAAATTATTTTATTTAATTTTTTTTTAATTGTAAATATGAAATTAACAACATTTTTTATAGTGTATAATGTTTGCGGCTAAATTATGTATTTTATATTGGACCCTATTTAATTAATTGTTTGTTGATTGAAAACTGATGACAACTAAAGATTGGAACATTTTTTTGCTTTTCGTCAGGTTTCCTAAATTGTATCAGCCTGACCCAAAGAAGGCTTTGAAATCAAACATAGGATTAGGTAGTGCGTTGTCAACAATAATTGTCACGCGTCATTTGAGTATGAATATTTAACAATTGTCAGTTTTATTAGGAGTAAAATATATAATACTGGCACGTGGAAAACTTGATCCAAAAGTTCCAGAAATTATCATTCATCAGTACCATAAAGGGAAAATAATGTGTGAAATTTACAGTGAATTGACTGTAGCAACAATTACTATGTTTATTATAATAAAGAAATATGGTGAAACTGCCAGTATTGATGTTCGCAGCAAAAGCCCAGGCCGTCCAAAAGCTGTTTCGTAACGCAGTGTACGACATTTAATCAGAATATGCAAGTCGGGAAGAAGAAATACACTGGGATGAATGTTTCCAGAGAATGCTGACGCAAATATATCCACAAAATTGGTCATACTTTTTATAGGGTATGTTTGATGGGTTCTTTTTTGTGATATAAATTTTCAATTTTTTGATTTATTCCAGTAGGCAAAAGAAAAACATGTTGACGGAAACTTAAAAAAAAGAATCGTTACATTTGGACTAAATCAAAACTTTCGTGGACCAAACATAACTGAGACAAAGTTATCTATAGCGACGAAAGCAAATATGATGTCTGTGTGGTAGATTATTTAAAGTGTGTAATTCGGGAAAAAAGCAGAAGCATTCCGTAAAGATTGTCTCAAAAGGACTGTAAGGTTTCACAGGGCATCATGGTGTGGACTTGTATGTCTGCCAAGGGGTTGGAAACTTTACATTTTATTGAAGGCATAGTAAACGCGGCCAAATATTCACATATCCTTGAATATTCGTTTCTACCAAGTGGGGCAAAGTTTTATACATTCGGAGATTTTATCTTTCAGCAGGACGGAGCCTCATGCCATACGGCTAAATCTACCAAAGAATGGATGGGAGAACATGCCATTAATGTTTTGTCATATCGTTCTAGCAGCCCGGATCTTAATCCAATAGAGACACTTTGGCACAAAATAAAACAACGCCTAAGAAATATCCCTCAGCGTTCTTGGCCACAACTACGTGGTAAATTGCAAGCCATATGGGATAGTTTCACCACGGAATTCTGTAAAAGCCTAGTTAACACAATCCCTAATAGAGTTCCGGCTGTTATTTAAGCTAAGGGCGAGGTTACGCCTTATTAATTTTTATTTTATTTTGTTAAAACCTCTTGTTCCATTATTTAATTGTCAACAATTTTTTATTAATAAACAAGTAAGTATAAGTATGTTGGTATATTAACAATTAAAAATAAAATTTAATAAAAGAATTTCGGTAAATTGGTATTTTATTCGCAAAATAACTGCTTGTTCCAACATATAGTTATTAGGGCTCGTATATGTATAATTGTAGATTATATATGTCTCCTACTTTCTACTAATCCGTTAATTTTAATATATTTTTGTTGCTGATTTCTTCTTTTAGTATTGGCAACCAGGGTTTGCTACACATTTTTCTTCATTAACCTTCGTCCGGGCGCGCCTTATATAATTACATCGGGCACGCGGCAGCAATTTGCTGCCATGTAGTTCATTATTATTTTCGACACTTTTTTAAATATTGATTAACTGTATGGTTATTTATTTTGACAAAAAATAAACAAGGTTTATTAATTTAACTAATTTTAATAAATTGTACAAAAAAACTTTAATTATTTGATCATTACAATGTGTACATGCAATATTAGATTTAGAATGTCGTTTACAAGTGAATGCACTACATTTTGTACATTTCATAGACGTATACGACTTAATTTTTTCACTGTAACAAGTTTGGCAGGGTTTTCGTTTTCTTGATGAGGAACTGGTTGCTTCGGAAACATCCTTAACAGGAAGTCGGTTATATCACGTGGAAGTGTTTTGATTTGTGATCGTCTATGAAGGTATTCTTTCATAAAGCTCATTGCAAGGTTTTTGAGAAAATGTCTCGTTTTGAGTGATCACGGCCATCTTTTCGTTATTCGTGAAACACTGTATGATGAACATAACTTATCCACAGTATCAACCTCCTTTTTTGTTTGGTTGTACTTAGTTGTAATTTGTAAAATCAACTGAGGTTTCCTAGTATCCATGTCAACTTTACTTTCGATGTGCATAGACGATAATAATATGACTGACTTAATTTTGCGGGGCACATAAGAGATAATCCTATAATCTCTTTGAAATCCAAATATGCTAGATTGAACTGCTCTTAATTTATGTGGAAGAAATTCTTGAGGAGTTTTTCTTATATTTTTCTTCAACGTCCCAAGCAAAGTAACTTTTTTTTCTCCAACAAATATCTAGCTACGGAATGCTGGTATAAAAATTATCGGTTGTTATGTTTCTTCCCGTCATTTCTATGGACTCTATTAGACGTTTTACAACGTCAACAGCTGAATTTGATACGTCGTATGGGCTACTTGGCTGCTGACCGCAATGTATCTCTAAATTGGCGGTATAAAATGTTCGAGCATCACATAATGCATACATTTTTATCCCGTACATAGCAGGTTTGTTGGTTATAATATTGTATTCAGTTACAACTATTTCTGAAGGGTGGGGTATTTCATCAATTGTTGTATACTCTAACAAATTTTATGACTTTTGATATTTTTTTATAAATTCATCAAAAATCAATCTAATGGCCGACAGCTTGTCTATTTTACATCTATTACCCCTTGTATGTTTACCATCAAATCTCAATGAACGTGCAACGAATAGGAAACGTTTATAACTCATAACTGCTTGAACCCGGGGCCATCTCTTTCTCAAAGTTCCATCGCATTTTTGTGATTGCCGTGCTTTATGTCAATCAAATAGAGGATCCCGAAGAAGACCAACAACTCACTCCTGTCCACATTCCTCCAATCTCACAAAAAAATTCAATATTGATAATAGTAAAAAGGCAATCAATTAAATTCTGTTTTTATTTGACGTGCAGTTGTTTTCAATCCCGGTGGTACTTTTATTATGTTTTCTTGCTTTATCTTAGACGTGGCAAATTGTCTGCCCGATGCACTATTCACAACAATGTACGATAACTGATTGTATTTGAATGTCACGAGACGATGATGGGTTCCGACTGAGGATTAACCGATAAGAACATTTTAAAAAGGTGACGTACATAGCATCCCGTAAAAATCATTGGTTTGACAACGAATGCAAGAATGCAACAAAAGAAAAAAATGAAACCTACAGAAAGATGCTTACATGACAAACTAGAACAATTATAGAGAATTACCAGACAAAGAGAAGAGAAGAAAAGAGGATACACAAAAGAAAAAAACGGAACCATCTAAATACGAAACTTAACTATATAGAAAACCTTAACAGAGAGAAAGAATTCAGAGCATTCTATAAGAAAGTTAACATCGACAGAAAAGAATTCAATGCATCCACAAGACAATGCAGAAGTCAGAATGGCGACCTATTAACAACAAGGAAAGATGTATTGAATAGATGGGTGGAATACTTTAACCAGGCACTTAATATAGAGGAAGAAGAAGAAAACCTGGAAGACGAAAGAGATGAGGTAAGGGGAGCAGACGAGAGGGAAGAGGAACCACCAACGATTCTTGAAGTTAAAGATGCAGTTAAAAAACTAGCCAGAAACAAATCACCCGGAATAGATAATCTCCCAGCTGAACTATATAAAGAAGGTGGCCATGATACCATCATGGCATTACAGCAGCTTATAAAAGAAATATGGACACAGAAATCCCTCCCCAATGATAGGAATATTGGAATACTTTGCACCATACACAAAAAAGGAGATATCTTTGAATGCTCTAACCACAGAGGAATTACGCTTCTAAATGCAGCGTATAAAATATTTTCCACAGTACTATGTCATCGTATGGCACCATATGCAGAACGGATAGTAGGAAAATACCAGGCTGGTTTCAGAGGTGGTAAATCGACAATTCATCAGATTGCAACCCTGAAACAAATTTTGGAAAAAAAACACTGGAATATGGCATTGATACTCATCACATATTTATAGACTACAAAGCAGCCTACGACTCTGTGAATAGAAGAGAAATGTTCAAAGCAATGAAAGAGCTAGGAATACCAAATCAGTTGGTAAATTTAACAAAACTAACTCTTGAAAAAGTTGAATGTAGAGTACGAATTCAGGGGAACTGTCTGAATCTTTTAAAACAAATAATGGGCTGCGCCAGGGAGACCCTCTCTCTACTGTTCAATCTGGCTCTGGAAAAGAAATTCTTATGTCACAAATAACAACCACTGGTTCAATATATAATAAATCAGTGCAAATCCTGGCCTATGCTAATGATATCAATATTGTTATGAGAACGGAAAACGCTGTACGAGAGGCGTATGTAGCATTAAAAGAATCAGCTACAAAAATGGGTTTAATAATAAACACCAACAAAACGAAGTATATGAAAATAAGCACGCAACCACAAATCCTACGACCACTCGTTATAGAAAACGACGTCATCGAAGCAGTGAACGAATTTGTATACCTGGGAGCGCTCCTTAACACTGAAAATAATACTACCGCAGAGATAAACCGCAGAATTTGCACGGCCAACAGATGCTATTTTGGGCTCAATATCCTCCTTAAAACCACAATTATATCGAGAAATACAAAAATAAAACTCTACAAAACAATAATACGTCCAGTCTTAACATATGGTTCAGAGACCTGGACTCTAGGATGTTTCGAAAGAAAAGTACTAAGGCGTTTCTATGGAGCAGTGAATTACAATGGAGTGTGGAGAAGACAATACAACTTCGAAATTTATAGAATATACCAGAAACCTGATATCGTGAAACATATTAAGATCCATTGGTCAGAGAAGAAGAGGAAGACCCAAAACAACATGATAACATCGATGGAGACATGAGAAATATGGGAATACGTGCTTAGCGAAGAAAGGCGATGGATAGGGACGATTGGAGAGAAATTCTTGAAGAGGCTAGGACCCACGCTGAGTTGTAAAGCCAGAATGGTGATGATGTACATAGCATATCCGGTTAAAACTTATTGATGCATCTTTCCCCTGTACTCTGTACTCACTGTCTTAGGCATGTTTGCGTATGCGATTAATTGAAGTCTCTATTTTTTATGTATGTTTCATGCTCGTTTATCCTGATACTTAGTGGTCTTGTGGTTTCTCCCACATAGATATTGTTGCATTCACATGATATTTTAGAGATGATCCTATGTTTATCATTTTGATGTACTGTATTTTAAATTTTATTATTAGATTAGTTTTAACTTGGTCTGTTTGACCATTATGTTTTTCATCAACTGAAAAAAGTCAAAAAGGTCAAAAAATTTGTTTTAATGAAGAGTAGACGATGTGGAATAATAAAATACTTTGACTTCCAAATTTTATTTGAAAATAAAAACACATGTGTTTAACATTTGTATTGATTGCTATTGCTAATGTTGTGGATTTTTCAGGTTTGCCAAATTTTGTGGTTCAAGAAATTCTAGTTCTTGGCGACAAGGCAAATCCCCCAAAAGGTTTTAGCCTATTGAACAAAACTGCCGACAGTGAACAAAAAGCTTGGAAAAAGAAACAAATTTGTTATAGATTAGTGAATAGAAAAGACATAAAGACTGCTGTTACAGACATTATTATTTGTAGTAGATTGAAAAAGGCGCCGTCTGGATTTTCATTTGCAGGGTAAGTCCTCATATATATTTACTCAAGAGTCGATAGAAAATGAGAGAGCTCCGAGGTGTACGCTGAGTCAGCAAAATTTGAAGCTGCAAGCTTCCTGTGGAGTTCAGTAGCTTGTTTTTTTCCCGTCTAGGTAAGAAAAATATGATTAGTGGTTTCAGTTGTTTGCAGAAGTGTCGGGACGCAGGTATTCACGCAGGTGGTCTAAAATAAGAGGTCTAGACAAGAAACAGCTAATTAATGGTATCAAATGTCGCTGAATTTCAGGTGAGTAGCTGAAGAATAGGCTTGCACTACCTCACGTCTCTCATCTTCCATCTACTTCAGGTGCGTAAAATATAGACCTTTAAAATGTCAATATATATATATATATACATATATATATATATATATATATATATTATATATATATATATATATATATATATATATATATATATATCGCACACCTAGTTCAATAGTGCCACAAGTCCAAAATACAATAATTTCGAGAAATGAGCAAAACGTTCTGTAGCAAACGAGTTATGCCTTGTAAATAATTTATTTTTAGAATGACTGGCTTCAAAATTACAATTTAGTTAGCAAATTATACAGTTATTCGCTGGATCTTATTACAATTTATTAAAAATAAAACGTTAATTGTATTTTGATAGTTATGGCGATATTGCATTGTGAAGAAAGTCATTTATAAAACGATAAATAGGAGATACGGCGGCAACATAATAAAAAAAATCAACTAGTTCTTACAAAAAATATTTTTATTATTATTATTACAAGTGTGTATGAACATTTTTTTTAATTACTATTAACCAAGTCCTTATAAAAATTGTGATGAACAGGTAATATTAAGTTTTTATTGCACAGTTCCAAAAGGTGTTGCTTGGTTTTTGCGGATATCGATGGAGGCTTTATGTACGCCTTTTTTAAATCGATTACTGCTTCCACAGTTGCTGAACGCCCCCTTGTCGATGCTTTAAAATGGACCTCTTCGAACTCATCGGCATTATAATCTGTTTTATAGAAGAAAGATCCAGGATTGCTTTTGACAACTTTAATAACTTGGATATCATTCCAGACTACCTTTTCATCTTTTGTATTCTTTGTAAAATTTCCTCCAATTTTTGAATTGAGATCTTTAAAGTCATAAAAGTCTTCTGTTGACATTTCTTTTACATTGTAAGGATTTCCCTCTTTTTTGCAGATCTTATGATGACAGGCCATTGTGCAGGAACATAAATGGGACCTGTTTTAAGTATTTTCTTCTTTTGCCTCTCAATAGTTGCGTGCATGGCGTCCCCTTCATTTTGGGTATGTTCCACTGTTAAAAATTTATGTGTGATTGATTTAACATTAATTTTTCCAATTGCATAGAGATACATGGTAACTATAAATTTATTTTTATTTTGCCCAACACAATTGTCGCTATAAAATATAACGTCTTTATCATTACAATGATTTGAAAGATAATCAAACAGACACGTAGCTATTTCGTTTGAGCCGCGGTTAGCAATAGCCTCGTGCCAAAAGTAACAGTAACCAGTCTTTTGCAATATCTGAAAAATTGTAAAGTTGAAGCAGTTCAGGCGGCATTTATAGTAGAAGCTTGAAACATCTCCACAAGGTGTAGGAAGGATCGCCTGCAAATCAAAACAAGCTACCAATACTTGAGAATCATCTTTTGCTCTTGCTAGATCTTGTGCTTTTTCTTCTCTGCTTCTAATTTTATTATGGATATGTTTATTATAAGTTTGATGAAGAGTAGCTTGCTGTTCAGCAGAAGAATTTTTATATGATTCACAAATTGCGCACTGATCTTTTTTTGGCTGAAAGAAAGTTATGTTAAACTCAGTTTTGAAAATATGCTCGTAAGTGCATTTTTTAGCCACAGGCCTTCCTTCACTCTCTTCCTGTAGTTTGTAGTAGCGATACATTTGAGCTAAAGTAAGTGAACCATCTATGTATTCCTTTGTAGTTTGTGCTCTAAGATAATGTGATTCTACCCTTTGGAAAGAATTTATGTGTTCTCTTATTTTATTTTTCACCGGTCCAGTAACCGTTTCTCGTTTCATAAAATTTCCTCTCTTATCCTTGTCCACAGATCCTTTACCATCTGATTTTCTCCAAGTTGTTCTAATAAATTTGTCACCAATGTCCAAGGTATTCATGAAAAACTTTTTGCAGACTTTAACTTTTACTCCGTGTATTGTTAAAAAATACGCTAAATTCATACCGCGGTTACTGCCTTCAACCGTTTTTCTGTATTTAGTAACCAACTTTTCCAAATGGGAAGCAACAAATTGTCTTTGAAGAGCGTTGTCTTTCAAATTCCAGAAACGTGAATGTATATCATATCTATCAGCATTGCTGAATTTTTGGCTGCATTTTGTACGACATTTTTCTCCATAAATAATTGAGAACTGATAAAATCGTACCACTAATCTAACAATTTTTGCAGTTGTGGCCGTATTGAATTACATCGGTTGTATTGTGGCGGAGTGTATTATCGCCACATCTCCTAGTTATGACCATATTGCATTTCAGAACCCTACAGTGTAATACCGAAATATCTTACTTTATACTTATCCAAGACAATATTTCAGTTAAGGTTGTATTGCATTAGATGGGGTATCATATATGCAACCTTTTTAAAGCCTTAACTCAAAATTGGAATTTTTGGAGTTGTGGCAGTATTGAACTAGATGTACAATATATATATATATATATAATATATATATATATATATATATATATATATATATATATATATATATATATCGATCTGAAATATTTTTATTTATTCGAATTTATATAGCTTTTTAAAAATTCTCTCTTTAGCGAATTAAACGGAGTGACACTTTGCTACAAGATGGGCAACGTTCAAGATTCGCAAGCGAACTCAAACGACCAATTTCCCCCGGAACGACCGCCAAAGCCAAACGTAATACCTACAGGAGCGCCCGTTTATCCACCGTTAGGTAACACAGATCACGATTATGAAATTTTACGTCCGGGAGCGTATCCTTCAGTTCTTCCAGGAGGTAAGTCTAAATCTTATGTAAGTAAATGCTAAAACGCCGATCTAGAATCTACTTCGATTGAAGTTCTTTGCACGAAGTGTCGAAGTGAAGTTAATCGAGGCGAGGTGACTCTCTACATACTCGTGAAGTCGAGTAATGTAGTGTGACACTTCGTATTCGAACTTCGGGCCCTTTGACTCGGACGCGAAAAACCGACACAGAACGGAAGTAGAACGAGGCGAAGCGAAGTCGCATGAAGTACCTGTCTACACTCTCGTACTCGCTGAACTTCGATCAACTTAGCGAGTAGTATAGTGGCCGCTTAAAATATATTCTTAGAATTTCTTCTAACATTTTTAGCTTGGTATCGTAACGGATTTCGATTTATTTACACTATTTATTTACTACAACTAATTATTGTTACATTCTAAAGCTTAAGACTGACTCCTCATAATAATAACCGCTCTTGTATTGGGTATGTCATTCTTTCAAACAGTTTAGAGACCCACAGAAGTCGTCTTTTCACTTTCTTTGTTAACTATTTCCATTTTACTGGTGATATTTCTATTTTAAAATAAAATAGTTTTAAAATAAACACAAATGAAAAATTATTTTTAATAGAATTATCTAAACCGTATCCAAAACATGAATTTTATCATCAATATAAAAAGTATGTTTATAAACAATGAAGCAATTTTAATGAGTGTATCCAGCTGTGTCCTGGATTAAACATCAAAGGAATTGAGAGGTGAAAATATTTGATTATAAAGGTCATTTGGCCAGTTCGGAGTTTTTTTAATTGAACAAAAGTTGTTCCTGTATTTTAATACACTCAAAGACAAAAATATTGCACATTTTACATTTAGTTTTTTTTTGAAAATACTTAAAAAGTATGTTTTATACTATTATGAAGGTATCTTTTTAGTTTTACATATAGCCATAAAGACAAAAAATGTATAGACTTACAGTAGGTACTTTTGCATACGTTCAAACCAATTGGTAAAACAGTTATTCCAGTCTTCAGTTGAAACCTGCAAAATAGCTGTTTTAAAGGCATCGATGATCTCTTCTGGATGGAATCGATGACTCATTGATCTTCTGGAGAACGTCAAGAAGTCGTTGGACTTAGGTCGGGGCTATACGGTGGATGGTTTAACAATTCGATGTTTTGAAGCTCCAAAAGCTCTATTGTCTTTGTGGCAGTGTGAGCACTTGCATTGTCCTGATGTAGGATGATTCGTCGTTGTGTGTTGCTTTGTCGGAGTTTCGCGATAACTTCTGGTAAACAAACGGTTAGGTATATACCATTCTAAAGCAATTGTTCCCGCATGACCAGATTTTAAAACAAAAGTTGCAACCATTTTCTTTGACACACCTCGAGGATCACTTTCGTTGGTTTTTCCTCATCGTTTGAGTGGCGTTTATTTTCCGATTCATAGGAGTAAATCTAAGATTCATCGCTACTAACAATACTATAACTATTTTTTGAGCTTCTTTTGCTGAACCGTTCCAATGTTTTTCATCACCAGTTGATGCGAACCGCTTTTTGCTCTTCTGTGAGCAAATAGGGATCCAACTTCGTAACGTGTTGGATCTTTTGGATCTATCTCACTAAGAAGCCTCTATATTGAAATTCGCAATATCAGCGGGAAATAGTTGAGAGGTATGATGCTTATTTCCAAACATAGAAACCATTTCAGCGATACATCAGAAATTATTGCTCGAAAATGTTCTGGGCTAAGATCCATTTTTCGACCGATATGCTAATTTCAAAAATTCACTGCATCTACACGACTTGTTGTGTATCGCGATGAAACTCTTGATTTATGTCAACAAAAGATTGAGGTTGCATTTGTGTTGGAAGGTTTTATTGGTGGCGCCCTCTAAGGAGCTATATGCAAAACTAAAAAGACAAACCGCATAAGAATGAATGTTTTAAGTATCTCCTTTTTTCGTTTTTTCCATCGTCACGTGTTTCGATTTGGTATCATTTATTTTTAATCCACATAACTAAAGGAAACGATAAAAACCATGTCAAGAACTTTGTATCGGCCAAGTTTTTCACTTCAAAGATATGTATAACAAGAAAACAGATATGTTTTCTACAAAGATTTCGGCGTCCTTTTCTAATTATCGACAATTAAGTGCAAAAAATGGATGTTTTTTTTAAATTCTTCCTTGCTATTAAAAGGTATGCACACTATGTTTTTTAATAGTTGAGAATACATCGTGAAAAAAAAAGTTACATTTTTCACAATTAATATTGTTATTATTTAAAAACAACGCCAAAATCTTTGCAGGGAGCAAATAGGTTTTCTTGCTACGGGTATACAATAACTAAAAAACCTATCAGATACCTGGATTGTTCAAAAGCCTGAACTTTTTTTCCTAAGCTAATACTAATAGTTTGCTTATTTCTGGCCTTTGCAGAATCATACAGTGTTGCCAGTGTATATCGCATACACTAATAAATAGGGAAACAAAGGCGCCTTCTCAAATGTGGACATGGATCCCTTTTTTCGCGGCGCTAACGTTTGGTAACATGGTACAATGAAGAATGTAAGAAAGTTTGCCAGGAAAAAAACGAAGCTAGGTTAAAACTTTTGTCAAGTAAGACAGTAGAAAACGCAAACTTCTAGAACAAAAAATACTTTAATAAAAGGAACATGCAGAAATCATTTGGATGAAAATTTAAAAGATTTGGAAGACAACTATAAAAATAAAGGGATAAAAACTTTCACTAAGAAACAAAAAAGGGCAATGATAATAAATTCGTAAATAAGGGGAACTATTGGCGAAGTAAGTGAGTGGACTGAACTATGGGCTCAATATTTTGAAGATCTATTCGAATTTAAGGATAACTTAAAAAGACAATATACCAATCATTTATGAAAACGTAATGTAGGGTATTAATGTTCCAGAATCAACTGAGCTAGAAGTAAACGAAATAATAAAACATTTAAAAAGTGAGGAGAGTAGATTTACGATCGAGTTCCTAAAATAAGAATAAATAAAGTGGTCACAAATCTTATTTGGAATGTGTGCCTAGAGGAACAACTGCCAGATAGATGAAAATGGGGAGTTATATCTCCAACATTCAAAAAATATAGAGAGTCTGCAAGTAAAAGTACTAAGCCGCTACGGCTAATTTCCAATTGTTAAATCCCATAAGAAAACGCTAACAACCGTTCTGGTTCAGTAAAAAATTGTTAATACTTTTTTAAGCTTTTCTAGAACTGTCCTATACTGTTCTATATCTGATTTAAGTTGTCCCAGACCCGTTAGCTGTTCTAAACCTATTCTAGATAATGGTCTTAGCTGCATATCCTATATATCAATACTGTTAGGACTTAAAAGTAGAAAAGCTGACAATTAAAATAGAAAGAAGAAAACTTGAGTCACCCATGAAAGAACTAGAACTAAACAACTGAAAGAAGAGGCAAAAGATAGCGACCTGACATGTAAAAGAAGATGAGTAGATTCTCAAATCCCTGTCCTTTCCAACGTGACCTAATACGTCCCTATGCGTGAAAAATGACCAAAATGGACTTCGATTTTTTAAGGGATTTCACATGGGGAACTAGGTCTTAGCGATACAGCTCTTTTACTTATATACTTTTCAACGAGACTTCATACGTCTCAATCCGATCAGTCGTGGCAATCAGAAAAAGCGTTAAAAATAACAGAATGAGCCTTAGTGTTTTCTTATGGAATTTAATACGTGGAAAAGTTATAGTCCCTTTACTTCTACAGTAATTATAGGGTATCTTCTTCTTGGGCACAAGCTACAACGTTTTAGTCATAATTTTAAGAAATGGGCTAGAGCTATTTAGCAAGAACGTGACAGGATGATATAAAAGTGGATTTATAGGAGGCAGAACGACAAAACGCCAAGTTTTTGTGCTATAAACAACAAATGCATATCTCCACTGATGTACGCTGTTTGAAGTTACAAATAAAAGGCTTGAAGTATACTCCAAACCTAGACTTATCAGTTTAAAAAACAGAATCCATTAAATCTCTGTCCATCAGTAGTCTTCCCCAAATTTAACAATTTTTTTACAGTTTTTCGTTTGTAATAATATTTACTTTAATATTTTTTGTCATTAAATCGTTTTTAAATTTTGACGATTTTTCATTTCATATTAAAGCTTAAAACGTTGATTTCTTAAAAGTTGAAAAAGTGGAGTTAGTTAGATTCTTTTGGCAGTAAGCCGACATGATGGTGCCGACTTTGGACACCCTGTACATTAAACACCAGTGTATACCATATCAAAACAATGTGGCCTTAATTAACAAGGGCAGAAGAAGAACTAAATAATGTATTTACTAACTTTCTATAATAACTTAAAAAACTTTCATTTAAAGACAAACTTCCATATTTTATCTTTAAATAATAAATTGCAAACATATTTAGTATATTATGACACATAAAATGTGTTACGAAAAATTATTCAATAGCTCTTATCAAATAAGTTATTTATTTTTATTGGTTTTAATTATAGTTGAGATAAGAGATATGGCATTTAATCAAAACGAGATAAATTATATTACTTATTTATGTCGACAAAGTTCTATGATAGTTTACATTTTGATATCCTTAAAATACGAAGACGCTTCAATAAATTATTATATATAATGCTAACGCAGGCCTCTTAGGCGCATACTTTGTCAATTCCCTTACGTTCTCTTCAGTTTTTGGTCTTCACTCTCCAAAATTGAATGTATTTATGTATTACGCATTTTTCTACCCCATCGAGCGATCCTCTGGTCCTTCTCCAACATCTGTAACGGGTGACTAACGCAGGCCTCTTAGGCGCATACTTTGTCAATTCCCTTACGTTCTCTTCAGCTTTTGGTCTTCACTCTCCAAAATTGAATGTATTTATGTATTACGCATTTTTCTACCCCATCGAGCGATCCTCTGGTTCTTCTCCATCTGTAACGGGTGACTACTACCCGTTAGAAAATATACTAAATTCAATAAGCGATGCAAGGCGTGTAAATAACGATAAAATTGTATTTTAATTAAACTTTGATCAAATAAAAGGCAGATATCGAGCACAGTTTTATTAATTAAATCTTGCCCAAGTACTTTCGCTTCCTAGAGCATCATCAGGGGCATTTCATCAATTGTGGCCTATCCAACAAGAATAAAATGTTATAAACATAAAATTGTACATCACACTACACTACACAAGGACAAACACTGTAAAATTTTAAAATAGCGAAGCTACATTATGTTCGGAAACCTTAGACAGAATTTGTCATTCTGTCTCCGGTTTCCTGACCGGTCACTTGTGCTGAATCCCTTTCTAAAGCCTGCTTGTTCTTTCGAATGGTTATCCGTCGAATTTTGACGTCAATCTATTGGTTAAAATTTTTGTTAGGAGTTTATACATTACATTGAGGAGTGTTATAGGACGGTAGTTTTTTTATATCTTTTATATATTTTATCCCCTTTCTTGTGTAGGATAATGGTTAAGGATTCCTTCCAGTTGTATATATCAAAATTTCATCGAAAAGTTCTATGGAGTTGTCACCGTGTATCAAAATTATTTTCAAATTGTCAGTGTTTTCTTTAATCTTCATTATTTATCTCAAACTTATTGTATGAAAAACTAAAGCTATAAAAGTGATTTTCTAACAATTAAAAACATAGCATAAAGCATTATCTATAAAGGTACATTAAGAACATTAACTTTAAAACTATCTTCGGTCGTTTTTGTTTGTTCATCTGGCTGTTGTAACCTTTAAAATTTTATTATAATTTGTATCGCGTCGATATTCACAAATATTTTTTATAAGTATCGTTAAATAAGTTTTTAAATTCTCGTTAGATTACACAACTAACGAAATATTTATATATTTCATTACTGGATCAATTCTATTGAGTAAATCATTCTTAAATTATGTTTAATTTCATTATTAAAGTTATCATTATTTAATATTTCTATAAAAGAGCATCATCAATTTTTCCTAATTGATATCGTAAAGGCCGAATAGCATCGACTCTACTTTCCCAGCGCGTATTCGATGGTTGATTTAAGATTAAATTTGATATAAATTGTAATAAAATATTCCAACGTTTTGGTGACGATGAAATCTTTATGTATTTCCTGAACTGTTGCAAAAAAACTTATTTTATCAGAATTTTTTGCAGAGTTATTGTTAAATTTAATTTGTGCGCAACACACGGAACAAAAAAGCCAAGTAGACCATGGTCAATAATTTGTGAAACCAAAAAAAATTATAGTAGAATGAAACCTATTGAAAAAAGAGGAGAATATTCTAAAATTGGAAGAAAAAATAAATTACAGTCCATCCGAGGTCGGGAAGTGGGGGTTAAGGGTGTGAATCAATGTGCTGCTCTGTAGTTGCAAAAGAAACATTACAAAAATCTTCCATTTCATTGCAAACTTCCACAAGTACGATCATAGTTTATAGTTAATTGTACATAATGATGGAGAAAAATTGTTCGATTCGAGTTTCGTTTTTTACGTTTTTTGTGAACATTTCCCATAGTAATGTATATTTTTTTACACTAATCTTTTTGCAATCTTAATGTTTTGTGGATTTATAATTTTTTGTTTATCAATTTATTATTATTATTGAGTTAATGCCTCGACAACTATGATCATTGGCATGGTACAGTCAGGTACCTAGTGTAGTGTGTGTGTGTAGAGTAATTGTCTTGATACTTAGCAAAGTCGACGTCATTGTCTTTGCTAAGAGACGCTAATTGTATCCGAACGTCTGCGGTCCCTCTGGTGAGTACCGATCGCACAAGGATAGAAATTATTTTCATTTATTAATTTTTAATAAACGAAAATTTCCACCCAGGTGGGATTCGAACTCACGACCTTTAGGTTCAAAGGTAGGCGCTCTTACCACTCAACCACAGAGGGGGTTGTGTTTATCAATTTATCATGAAATCTTAAGCTACATGACTAATTACAGTATGAATTATAAGAAATATCTCAAAATTGTACATAATGATAAAAAAAATTGTTCGATTCGAGTTTTCTTCATTTTTTGTGAACATTTCCCATAGTAATGTATATTTTTTTACACTATCGGAAAGTAGAGATTTCAACGAACAAAAAGCCCACCGACTTTTTAAAAAAGCTGATATTTTGACGCGTGAATTTTCGATTGAAAATTAGGGTGCTTTTTCGATAATAAATCAATATCAGGTAAAAAAATAAATTTTTCAATTCCAAAAAATTACAGTGTATTTGATACATACTAAGGCAAGTTTTCACCAAATTTCGTAAAAATTTTTTTTTTTGAAAGAAAAAATCAAGGACTTGAATTTTCCACAAAAATTTTGAGGTTATGTGAAAAAAGTATAAATACAAAAGTGTAGATCTTTTGGTTACCTACAACTTTGCTATTTAACTTTTTTCCATACCACTTGCAGTTTCGCCGAAAATCGCGATAAACCGATTTTTACCCTTAAAACCACCCCCACCCCACTTCCCGACCTCGAATGGAGTGAAATTTATTTTTTTTTCTAACTTTTACCATATTCTATTCTTTTTCCAATAGGTTTCATTCTACTATAATTTTATTTTACTTTTTACCTTTTTTAAAGGCTTCTACACCGGTCTAAATTTTTTGTTGAAAGTAAATTTTGCAGCCCATTTTTCCCCTTCGTGTTTGCTATGTTACCATATTATTGACCACGCATATCGTCAATGGAACTATTTCATGTCTCTAATATTGCTGTTAATTTGCATATAAAGCACGGCCTGTTGAATCATCAATTTCGATCAATCCCAAGAAATTTTCGTCGATCTCTACAATGTCATCGGTATAAAGAAACAAAACGTAGTATTATTGTCATTTGTTCTGTCTAATATTATTGAACAATCATATCATTTTTTATAACGCCCATCTCTATTTTTGTCCTGTATTAGTTTTAATATTGTATTTATTGTTCCTGTGGTAGACTATTTGTGTGGAGTTTGTGATGTCCTTTTGCTCTGTCCGAATGGTCATGGTCCATCTTCTTAGCTTATACTAATTCTTCTTTTACTACCGTCATCAGTTGAGTCGATCTCATGTTTTGCCTATTTGTCTGTTTTTTGTTGTTCTTGTTTTTCACTGTTAAGTGTAACACCGCGAAATCGAAGATATGAGTTTTTATCGGCGCTATTAACAGTTTTGTTAGTGATGTCTGCAGTCTTCTATATTTAGTTAATGTTGTTCTATATTATTCTTCAAACTTTTTTGAACAACCGGAAATGCCTCATTGAATTTTGTCAAGAATGTTTTCCTTATCTTTTGTCAAAGAACCAGTATTTCTGATATTTGCGACATTTTGGAAGAAATACAATGTAACGACAGAATGCGCGACCACACTACGTGCAGTCCCATGCGTATTTCTTAGTAAAGTAAAGTATAAAATAATATACAAATTAAAATATAAAATAACATAACATAAAATAAACTGGAATCGAACTAAATTGAATTAAATTAAAAGCCATTGCTCCGTGCGTAGACGATAAAAAAAAGCTACGCTTTCCCTCTTCGGTCGCTAATAGAGTTCCACCTCCCGTTTGTTGTACTACAAAGTTTATGTTTTTATATTATTTTCGGGTAAACACAGGTGAAAATGTATCACACATCATTGACTTCACACAACGCGATGTTGCTGAATCCTCAGACTGTGCCTCACTGAAGTATATTTTTTTGTTCCATAGGACCTGGAGGACCTACCAGACCTGCCCCTAAACCTCCAGCTCCCGTACAACATCAGAATTCGACACACACAATGAATGGTCCTTCTCACATGGGTCTCGATGGGGTACCGTTTATAGTTAATCCCAAATTTTTGACTACGAGTAACCAAGATAGGGTAAGTGTGTCCCATTGTACTTTGTAAGTCTAAATTTGTTATATTTTTATTATAATTATACCTGTAACGTCAGTAGACAGATTCTCAGACATCTGCTTCACAACTGACACATCATACAGTCAGAATTGTGCTGCAATCCACGGGATCCGTGGTACAGGGAGAAAAGTGTTACTTAAGCATCGTCTCTGAAGGATTGTAGGATTGGTATGGGTGCACTTCCGTGTCTTACAGGATTTGGTCACAAGAATGAAATGACACTCAGACAAAAAGGGATGGTCCAAAAGAGGATTGGACATTAAGTGTATCTACTGAGTGAACACATACACATAAACGACTCTAATTCTACCCAACTTAGTCTGGATGACCCCAATCAGGTAAATCCTCAGTACACTAAGACAGCTTCGGCAGAAGTTAATGTTGGCATTGGAAAGCTCGATGTCGCCTTGATACCAAGGCCAAATAAAAGGCCTGATGAGTACTAGCAAATGGCTTATACAAAGTTGGGATAAAGTATGGAACCAAATAAATATCTTTGTATCCAAAGTGATAATATTCATGAGACTTTGGATGCAAGTACTTTGATACATAACGCATCTGATGCCTTTTTTGTTACTACTCTGCATCCTTTTTCACCGGAAATGCCCTCAACTTATTTAATTTTGACTGGGACACCCTGTATATTTTTGCCGATTTTAAAGAACTTGTTATTTTTAATTCATACATACAAAGTTTGATCTAAAAAAAGGACTGGAAAGCTCTTTTAAATTCTCACAACTATACAGGGTGAACAAATCCCCTTCGTTGGCTCAGTGGAGATGTTCGTTCAGTTGTAATGGAAACACCAAATAATAGTAGCAGAGTTTATTGATGAGACGTACACTATGGGTGTTGACCCGGGATTACTTTGAGTAGAGACTGTTGCAGTTGATCGCTGAAAACTATCAAGTTTGTTGAGTGAATATTGATTGAATGCTTCTCTAGGCAAGATATATTAGTTTTATATAAGTTTTAATTGGGTCAATATATTCGCAGGCCTCGCGTGATAAGTGTGTCTAATTTATGTAAATTGTTTAACTTTGTCAGCACTTTTGACTGATGTCCAAATTATATTGTTGATAATTGACCAAATCCGTATGTAACCTAATTAACTACGTGTGTGTATTTAATAACAAATAAATTCATTCTGTCTACTGGGTGATAAAATTATACTGTCCAATTTCGGATATGAATTCTGAAGATTTGATATTGGACATAGGGTGTAAATGTGCCATGGGCATAATTTTAATTAAATATATCATTTTACTTGCATCAAAGTTTCATGAAGTAGTCCAAGGAAATAAGATTCTTCTCGTTACACTGACCGAGCCAGACAAATGGCAGTTGTTTTGAGTAGTATGGACCTCTATAACAAGAATCTATATGTTTCCTGCAGTCGATTTTTTTCGACTTAATTAGTTATTAACAAATTCAAGTCTAAAAACGGTAAATTTTCGCTTTTTTGCCTTTCTTCAAAAAATGAAGCGTTATAAATGCGGTATAGATTCTTGTTATAGAGGTCCATACTGTTCAAAACAACTGTCGTTTGTCTAGCCGTGTCAGTGTCACAAACAGGTTATATTTTTGCTTTTCGCGAGAAAAAAGTCTACATTTTTATATTAACGTATTTTTTAGGTGCAGTTTCCTAGAATAAAGGCGCGAACGATGCAGCAACTTATCAAAGATTATAACTACCCGTTCACAGTGGAAAGACAAACTTAGAATATGCACTGACCCAGTCTCTAAATCGCTAAAAGAGAGGAACTGAATTTTGGGAATTTCCTAGTTTATTATAGAATGGATATAGAGAATCAAAAATCTATAGAGATCTATATTTTATTTTGAGATTTAACTAGTTCGGTTTAGCCAATAGTTTTTATGGATACGTGTCTAGAGATTAAGTATATTCGTTATTGTTTGTAGATAAAAACATTAACAATAGATTCAATTAGGGTGTGCCAGGTACTGTCATAGTCATGTGCCAAGTTGGTGATGGTTGAAATCACACATCAAGCTAATAAACGCCAAAAATGCCCAGTTTTCTTGAATCTCCTTTTTGATTTAGTCAAGTCATATCGTTGAATAATTCTTTTTAAGACATTTTATCAATGACGTCACGCCGGCCACGTGTATGACATACGTAAAATCGCAAAAAACTTGCCTATACCTTGCGTCAATTTTAAACTGGTATATGTGATTCTAGTTTGAATATTTTATTAAAACTTCTTCCGGATATTGAAGGCAACCAACAACTGTATTAAAAGCCACTGAAACATTTGATGATAGAACAGGAATCTCACAAAAAGCTACAATTGAAGAAAACTTCTCAATAAAAGTCGCGCTGACTAAATAAAAGAAATTTATGTTAAGTTGACCTAATCGTTCCGTTCCTTGCTAGGATCTGATTACGAGTTATTGACTGCGGAGAACCGATCTACAATCCGTCTGTAAAATCAGCAAATATCCATCTTTGAAGATATTCAGTTAACTGTATAACAAATTTACTATGTATTCGCTGTTGCATTAGATTTGCCTACTTGCTCGCTAGGTGCCATCTCGATCGTGATAACAGAGCGAGCTAGGAAGTGATAGTGCCATTTTAATAAAGTGCCTACGCCTTTCTAATGTAACTAATCTAAATTTGTTGAGGAATTGTTCAATATCAATTAAGAGGAACAATTGCAAACTATCGTAATTCACGCCAAACTATGTGTCCTTAATCTACTTTTGTTATGAATCGGTGTCAAATATAAATTCTAAATGGTCACTGGTGTTCTGTGTCACTAGAACCACAATCAGCACGACTGACCACAGAATTTGAATCGATTATTGAATAGAATAAATTTTTACTAGCATATCATTAAAATATACCGAATTTTTACATTTAACATTTATAGATGCAACGATTACACATCTTTATATTTGAACAACATCGCCGACTAAATAAAATAAAGTAGTAGATTTAGCAATCGTTCCATCCTCTATGATCGTGTACTGATTCTTGCTCAGTACGATTGCTATGAATTATACTATATACCGATATGTATTTTTCGATATGAATACCAACAAGGTTTAGAGCTACCATAACTATCGAAGAACTATCATAAATAGCGCCAAACTATATATTCGTAACTTTAATATTGATTCTGGATCTGGATCAAATTCCAATGTTGAGTTATGTATATGACCTGATCTAATCGAAGCTGTTAAAAAAAGGTTTATGAATCGATTCTCACTGAACTGAATCGGACTACTTGCACACTAAAACAATTCTTTGAGAACCTAATCATTTTTAGTTGTCATGTTTAACTGTTTCAACTATGAAATCATGTACCTATTCAGGGGAAGAAGTTATTGGTTGGACTTAAAACTTGTCACAGAGTCACAAATGTACTCGTTTCATTACTTTACACCTTATAACTTTTGGAATGTTATTTTTAATGTTTTGATGTATTTTTGCCGATAAATCGAATTCATACCTTCAAAGTAATAGTTAAACATACTACTGTTTAAGTTGCCTGGCTCTGTAAAACTGTAATAAATGCTTCCGAAGAATTTAAAATGTACTGCTGCGGATATAGGCAATTCACTTTGTTTGACAGCAAAACATACACGTAACCTCAAAAATACAACAGTGTGACGTCAACGTAAAGTGTCGTTATAAACTGAAATTGTGGTAGTGATAATAATTGTTTTGATTCTCTCTATCTTTTTGATTTATTATCATTTTATATTGACGATATTTCGGCCATTTTTGTGTCATGTCATCACTTAGATAGTTAGAAAATATTATTCAAATACCTAAGTTATTTATACCACGATTATCTTCATACCAATATCGTATTTGTTACATTAGAATTTTATGAAATAAATTAATATTTATATTACTAGATTGTTGTGTTATTTCTTCGACGGATCCAATAAAAACAGATCAGATATGTATCCTAAAGTTTTTCTGATCACTGCAAAGTATATATCTCCCACATGACATCTTTGTTGGTTGTTTTAAAAATGAAAATGTGGTATTTAACCCTATATCTGGTCCTGTAGCTTTTTGGCTACATCAACTTTGAACGATGATTTCAATAGCATAGTGCTTTACATACCCTAACTAGAAAGGTTGCCTTTAACCTACAACGTATTAGTGTTAAGGCTGGCAGCACCATCTATTGCAAGGTATGAAAAATTTTATTTCAATATGGCCGATGGTACGTACATGCTGCTTGAATGTGAATAAATATGCATCATAAAAGTAAGTAAAAACCTTTTTTGTACAATATTTTGGCTTTACATTGAATATAATGGTTCATTAATTTAGGTTTTTAAATATTTACAGTGATAAAAAATCTATATAACGCTAAAATCTGTATTCAAAAAACTATGTAGGTGAAAAGCAACATTGCCAGTTTATAGCAAGTTTTTTTGTTGCAGATTTTTCAAAAGAAAACTATTTTTATGGATTTTAAGCCGTTCAGAACTGCATGTTTTTATGAAAAGAAAAAAAAACGCTTGCATTAACTCAGTAGATCCAAATATGTCATATGTTTCCGATTTATCTGATTCGGAGGAAAATCATTTGCAACATGAAAATATTTTTGAAAACTCTGATGATGAAACAAGTCCAAACAATATGGTTGTACAAGAAATATATGAAAATATAGAAGCTAATGAGGGAGAAGCAAACGAAAAAGTGGAAGTTGTACAAAGAAAAAAAGCAAAAAGAGATCCTACCCATTTTAATTTGACATAAGATGATATTACAACTATTTCCATTTCTTATCCAGATCGATTTTTCGTTAAGAGTACTTTACCAAGTTGTTTTACTTGACGTTACTACTTGTTTTACTTGTCTAATTTGTACAGTACACAGATAAAAGAATAATCCAACACTTCGCCCCATGCATAACAAATTTGTTATCCATTGTATTATTGATAAGAGTAATAAATTTACCAAGAGTAGAAGTCTATTCGGCGACATTGTCTAGAATATTCCAAATTGCGGATATTATACCACTAAACCAATTTCACATGAATACATACAATGAATCGAATAAAACGAAAGTTATGACCAACTAACCAGGAGAACTAATAATTACAATTGCACAAACAACTATAGAACAAGTAACAGAATATGTATATTTGGGACAACTAGTTAAATTAAATAAAGAAAATCAGACCGGAGAAATAAAGAGAAGGATACGGTTGGTTTCGGTATCCCTCGGAAAACTTTCCTAGATACTAAAAAATAGAAAATACCCCCAATATTTAAAAACAAGAGTCTTCAACCGATGTATACTTCCTGTTCTCACCTATGGTTCTCATTACAAAGGAAAACATGAAAAAAACAGCAAAGAGCCATGGAAAGGCAAATGCTGAACATCAGGCTATCAGACAAGAAAATAAATACTTGGATCCGCAACAAAACAAAAGTGACCGATGTATCAACGCAGATAGCAAAACTTAAGTGGAAGTTCGCTGGACATACCATAAGACAGAAAGACGACAGATGGAATAAGATGATTATACACTGGTGACTATAGTTACAAACGAAAAAGAGGAAGGCCACAAATGAGATGGTCAGATGACTTGAAGAAACACGCAGGCCCGAAGTGGATACAAACTACCTACAATAGAGAGACGTGGAAGAAGGAAGAGGAGGCCTATGTCCAAAATTGGACAGCAAGGGCTGTATAGATAAATAGGAAACAATTTCAACTTCTCAAAAGATTTATACACTGCAATAACAACAGCTAAGTTACAGACGAAACCAAAGATCGGTATTTCAAAATCAGAACTCGTCCAGGAAATCTCAGCTATATAATTAAAATAAGGCTCATAAATGGTTTTACAAAATGTTGTTCGAATTGGTGTGCCTGGCTACATTGCCGATTTTATTGCGTACCAAGGAGCTTTCACCTTTTCGGAGCTGTACAACACTCTAAACGCGCTTACTAAAGAAGAAACTTCTTTTAGTGTAGGTGATAGCGTTGTTATAAGTTTGAGCAAGACCATTTCCTATCTATCCTTCAAATTTAGTAAATTTTTGCGACAACTGGTTTTTCGGTCTGTAGCCTTTTATTTATCGGAAGAAAAAATACTATGGGATACTAAGTTTGGGAACAACTAAGCAAAACAGCATCAAGGGATGTATAATAAAAAGCGACAAGGTAATGTTGAAACGTGGCAGAGGATCATATATGTATAAGTCTAATACCGAAAAGAAAATTATTGTTACTAAATGGACTGACAATAAATGTGTACTTTTAGCAAGTACTTTTTGTGGAAGCAAACCCCTAACTTGCCCCAAAACTCTAATTACCCAATATAACAAGCACATGGGAGGGGTTGTTAAGGCAAACTTTTAACTGGGATTGTATGGAAGTCAAAGTAGAGCTAAGAGATAAGTTCAGTTCTATTTACTGACACCATAAATCAAATTTTATATTTTTATATATTTTTTGAAACACTTTGCCAGATACAGGGTTAAACGATTAAGCAGCTGGTTTTATTTAGTTGAGTGCAACATATCATCGATAACAATGATTTCTTAAAACACAAATATAAAGAACAGAAAATAGTCTAAAAAGCTTTTAAGTTCTTTTGTGACATATAAAAGAGTTGTTTGCCAGTAATGAAATACAATTCATAAACAAGATGGTTCAAAGTCAAACCTCATTTGACTGAATGTGGCCTATTGGTACTAATGGAGCAAAAGCGTACGACCTCTACGGACATGAAATTTATATCAATGAATTCGGTTTCACTTACTGATTATTGGCGATGAAATTTAGTAGGTGCTCAACGTTTTTTATGTGATTTCCATTTAAAATATGTCTTGTTTTTAAAATCCACCTCCTTTATACATCATGAAACACATGAATGACAAACGTTTCATATGCTCAAGCAGGGTAATTCTAGCCAGTGTTCCTATAGTTATACAAAATATTATGTTTTCTTACAAAAAATAACAGATTTGTAATTATATTTAACATTTTATTCTTACCTACTTTTAACAGAAAATTATTGCTTTGTTACCAGAGTTAGGTTAGGTGGTCATTTTTAATTATAAAATATAAAGGAAATCCAATAAATTGCTATCTACAGTCACCCATTAAATTTTTAAAATAATAAGCTTCTTTCATTTAATATAAAGTATGATCTGGTGCACTTCTGACCTTGACATCATGTTTTTTTACTATACCCTGTATATTTTGATGGCACGCTATATACGTTATAGATAAACTATACGTCTCGTGTCGTTTGATTCAATATGTCATATGCTAGGGATTTGCCTAGTTGTTTATTTTGTAATCAGTCAGAGGCCTTCTTCAGGTTAATAAAGCAAATTAATCTTATAGCGTATCTATTATCATCCATAGTGTCATGTGATATCTCGTATGTCGCTATATATGTTCATTAATAAGGAAGATGCTGTGTAGTGGTCTTTTGCTATGTCGCATATTAGGATTCGATCAGTTGTTTTTTTTAACTCAATAAATCAAAATTTGTCTTTTTATGCATGCATTCTTTACTGCTGACTAATTAGTATATCTACCTATCTAGAGATACAACCTGTTTATTAAGGTGATTTTCATGAAATTTTTAGACCTTTTAAACTTCAGATGTGACAACAGTGTCGAATGTACATAAAATTTAACTTTGTGCGGATATCCGCCATACAGGGCCGGATTAAGGCACGGGCCAACTGGGCCGCGGCCCAGGGCGGCAAAATTTTGGGGCGGCGGATTTGAGAAAAAAAAAGTGTAATTATTTTTGATTGATTATAAAGCTTTATTATCGATTATCAAGACCAGTGAACCTGAGCATTAAATATTAAAAAACTATTTTATTGTTTATTATTTATTTATAACGCGACACTCTGCGCGGTGTAATGTGTCGCAGTACACTACGCTACGCCACTCTATCCAAGTGAGTCG